TCAGTCTTTCTGCCAACTCCTCCCTAATTACTACTTCAAAACTTTTGAGTTTTCTTAAGCCACCTAAGTGTTTTTTTATGACATCCTCTGCATTTCCTTGCATATATTTAACATACTTAGCATATGTTGAACTCTAAATAATTCCTAAAAATGTTTTCTTTCTTTAGAAAATTAATATGAACCTTACTATTTGTTATTTTTTCAATCTATTTTTTAATTTATTTGTTATTGTTTCAATCAAGGGATAAAGTTCTGCTTTCCCAACAAAGTGGCTGTAAAAAATCTTATGATTTTATCAGTTCCACCTTCCAGTCACCAGAAACCTATTGTAAATAAGGATGGCGGAGAAGAAATTGTGTTGCTGCATTTCAAAAGAGAGCGAGAGGGAGGGTTTGGTTTAATTTGATTCCATTTGTTACAATGGATATTCTTGGTGTGACAGTGTCTGGTTTATTTCGTTTCTAAGTTATCCCATGTGTGCAAGGAATGGCCGGGGTTACCATCCACTGGCGGCGATTGCTAGACGAGATCGCTACCGCTGCACCACACAAGGTGGAGGGGAGGGAGAGAGGGAGAGAGGGAGAGAGGGAGAGAGGGAGAGAGGGAGAGAGGGAGAGAGGGAGAGAGGGAGAGAGGGAGAGAGGGAGAGAGGGAGAGAGGGAGAGAGGGAGAGAGGGAGAGAGGGAGAGAGGGAGAGAGGGAGAGAGGGAGAGAGGGAGAGAGAGAGAGAGAGAGAGAGAGAGAGAGAGAGAGAGAGAGAGAGAGAGAGAGAGAGAGAGAGAGAGAGAGAGAGAGAGAGAGAAAAGGAGAGGGAAAGGGAAAGGGAGGAGAGGGAGGGAGGGATACTACAAAGGCCAACCCCCAATCCCTTGATTGTTGTTGCCATGGGGGGCTTATTTATTTATTGACAAAAAATTATCTGCCATGTCAACATCTAAGGTCATTATCAGCATATACAAAATGAAGCAAATCCCTTAGGCAAGAAAGTTTTTTGGTTTAGTAGGCCAGTGTTTGTGGATTTCCAGAATGGTCATTGTTGAAAACAAATAAATGTATATAGCTATTATGGTAAAGTATTGTGGCAAAATGGGTAAAAATTAGTTAACAATTTGGATTAGTGGACAGAAGAGGGTCACGAAGAAGAGAAGGAAGAGGAAAGAGAGAGAAGTAAAGACCCTATAAAATTAGTTAAGGCGAGGGCTGAGGTCAAAGGCAGGGTGGTCCCTACATTGGGCCTTAGTCTCCGCCTCCGAAAAAACCCACGACGACAACACTCGGGACGGGGAGGTCGTGGGGGGCTGAGGTGACAGAGACTGGAGCCCAATTTTGGGGATTGCCCCTACCTTGGATCTCAGCCTTCGTCTTAACTAATTTTGCACGGTCTCCTCTTCTCCTTTCCTTTTCCTTCTCTTCTTCATCCCCATCTATCTACTTATCCTAATCATTAACTCATTTTAACACTTTTTGCCATAATACTTTATTATAATGCTATATGACCTTTGATGGCTGGCACGTTTATCTGAAAATCCACAAGCATCACCTTAATGAACAAAAAACTTCCTTTCTTGGGGGTTTCACACCCAAGCAACACCATATTCCTGTATTTTGAATACACCACTAATTACCTTAGATGTTGACATGGAAGAAAATTTTCAATAATGAAATAAATACAGGGGCCAAATTGGTCACTTTCAGATACTGCATCAATTAATTGCATTTCTAAAAACGAACTTAAAAAAATAGTATACCAAATATTTATGCATATAAAATTTATCAACATGACCAGATCCATGGGAGGGGCAAAACAGGCTAAAAGCACTCTCTTGCCTATATCAAATGGTTAATGGTTAAATGCAAAATAAATGTGCTAGACATCTAAGGTCATGTAGCACTATAGTAAATGTTAGTGAAGGGCAAAGGAATTGCTGAGCGAATGGGTTAAGGTCGGGTGAGGTAATGTAAAGGGGTTAGATTAAGTGAAGGATATATATGCGTTTGAGGAAGGAAAACAGGTCAAAGCAGAAAGTGTGATATTCTGTAATGACGTCTGATAGGTTGGGAGGTTGGGAGGTCGGTGAAGGGAGGATAGGTGGGGGGAAAGCAGAGGTACGGGCTGCTTCAAAACGTGGGTACGACAATAGGATGTGTGGGACTGAAAGGGGAACATTGCTTAAGGATCATAGGGGTGGATCAGAGTATGACATCAGATAGGAGTGTGTTAGACGGGTGTGGCCAATACATAAGCGGGCGAGAGCCGTCTCCCAACGTATGTTCCGATGAAATGGAGCTGACCAGGAGGAGATTGATAGTTTTACAGTATGTAATTTATTAGTACGGAGCCTTGACCAAAAAGATTGCCATCGATTATACAAGGTCTTAAAGTGTGGGTAATAATCCGTGGCTGGGATACGTGAGAAATGTGGTTGGTATGATGTGGACATAATGGTGTAGCGTGCTAGAGTATCTGCCTGTTCATTGCCGGGGATTCCAACATGGCTGGGCACCCAGCAAAATTTGATTGTTTTATGGTGTGTGGACAGGTAGAACAACCAGTTCTGGATCTTACAAACAAGGGGGTTGGTGGTGTGTATTGACTTTATGAGAGTTAATGAGTTACGAGTCAGTAAAAATTGTAAAAGAGGAAGAGGGAAGTATGTTTTAAGGCAAAAAGGAGTGCATACAGTTCTGTAGTAAGAACACTGGATTCAGGAGGGAAGGGATATTTGAAAGTACAGGTTGGGAAGACTACTGCAAAACCAGCACCGAAGGTGAATTTGGAGCCATCAGTATATACGTGAATACTAGAGGAATGAGTGGAGACATGGTCAAGGAAATGGGTGAGAAGGGACAGAGAACGGGAGAGGTCGGAGATGGGGGGAAGGGGAATGGGAGAGGAGGGTATCCATACAAGTGGAGAAAGTAGTTAAACGTGGAGATGAAGCAAAGGTAGGAAGTAGGGATTGTGGGATAATCAGTTTAGTGAGGGGAAGTTGGTGGAATCGAGCATAACATCGGAGAGAGAGAAGGGCGCGGAGATAGAGATGGTATGCCTGATTCAGTGTACAGGCTCTCAACTGGAGAGGAGCGGAAGGCACCTAGAGCTAAGCGAAGACCACTGATGGATTGTATCAAGATGGGCAAGTAGATATGGCATCCGTAATCGAGAGTGGAGAGGATCAAGGTAACATGAAGATGGAGAGTTTTGTGATCTAAGCCCCATGATATATGGAATAGAGTTTGTAAGATTCGAAGACGGCAGAGAGCTTTTTCTATAATGTAAAGAATATGGTCCATTAGGACAGTTTGGAGTCAGAAATGACGCCTAGGAATTTGCCAAAGGAACGGTATTGGAGTGGAGTGCCATATAAGAGTAGAGGTAGGGGACCTACACATGTGCGAGAGAAAAGGATGGATGAAGATTTGGAGGTAGAAAAGCGGAAGCCATGGTTTGTGGCCCAGGAAAATACTGATGAGATTGCAGACTGAAGAAATTGGTAGAGATTTGGTATGGACTGCCAATATCAAAAGCATGACTACTATTTACTGGAAATTTTCATAATGTTCAGTAGAGGTTTAACTTTTTTTTTTCATTATTCAAAATGTGTGAAAGTAAAGGATATATTTTGTGGCTGACTCAATCAGATCAAAGACCAGACTATTGATCAGTCTATCAGGGTATTAACATGATTTATACGATTCATATTTCATTTTATCATTCTTACATAGATATGTATATATTGCATTCAAATGCTTGTTTTCTTGTTTTCTCCAAACTTTCTGCAATGAATGCATATACTTCAGTACATCACATGGGTATGTACCCAATTAGTTATCCTTTTTTGAAGGTGCTGTCTAATCTTCACAAGAATTTATTTAGTTTCAAATTCAGCAATATATTCATTTATTTTTTACCTCTCTATCATTTTCCCAACACCAAATTTATAGCTTTCTTTCATTAACATATTTCCTAGTGTATACTTCATTGCCAATTCAGTTAAATCCATAAATGCATACAGTATATACATATGTCCAAATGTAAATGTACATACATAAAGTGAAAATATAGAGCCAAAAGCATTTGATAGATGCTTATGGGATATTGTATTTTGTATCACAATGCAGTAAGCTGGCATTTGTCATGTGAGTGATATTTGTTAATACAGGTACTCGTTGATTTCTTTGAGACTCTATCTGTAGTGTGTTTTATGGTGTATATTATAGGTTCTGTAAAACAACAATTCACAGTTCCCAGGAAAACTTCTTATTTCCTATAACCTAATTTTAGTAGGCTCAATTAATATGGCTCTAACCTCTGATGGCAAGGGGAATGAGGGATTAGGGCTGATTTTCCTCTAAAATATTCTCCAGCATTACAGATTGTCACACTTATACTTTGCTTATTGGCTGGATATCACAAGATACAGAAACAGAAAGTGCAATACAAGAGATTTTACTCCATTTCTTTCCTAACAAATATTTAATTTGCTGGACATGGACTTTGACTTCTAGCAATGAAAGCTAAGACTTTCATATACTACCAGATAAGGTTCCTCCTAAATTACTTCTTGTCATGCTAACCTGTGCTACTAATTTCATACATAAAATTTTAAATGTAGGAATTTCCCTGGAGTACATATTGAATCCTATACTGATAGAGAACCACTGAAGAAATATCAGATCTACATTTCTCCTTTAGAGTGACTGCTTGACAATGAAAAATGTAACTCTGAAGCTATTATACAAGTTAATCATGAGTATTCTGATAGTTTTGATCTTGGCTGCAACAGACAAGTAAACACAGAGTCAGAGTTTTGAGTCAGTGAAATGCAACACCTGTTTTGCAGGTTACTCTGGGCAACACATGGAAGTTCCAAAGTATGTAATTGACTGTCATTGTATTTCCATTCATTCACTTCATAATAAGAATACTGCCTTCACAACACATGTTCTATGCAGGTTAATGAATTGAGAGAACTTGTTTCTTTCTAAAGTAAAGCCAATTTTAGGTCATGTCTTTATTGCTAACCCCCATGGAAACTCAAAAACATACAATTGCAAGAAGAATATGCAAGGGATCTTCCAAGGTGCAGCTCAACTTTGGTGTCATGTTCACAGACTGTAAATGTCATGAAGGAAGACTCAGCAATGGCAATAAACAGCACAGTTTGTTTTCCTGCTATTATTCACTGTTTATACTTTTATAATTTGGCATCAATTTTAAAATACAGTATTACATAAATTATTGGTACAGTAGTAGTTAACTGACAACTGTCAGGTATCATGACCTGAGATAAAAACCATCTTACAATATTTTTTCTTTACAGAATATTTACTTAAATTGTAACATACTGGGAATTAAAACACAGTGAAAAATAAAATTAAAATATGAAGCACTAATTACAAAAGTGTCTTTATCAATGTATCCTGTGTTTGAGCAGAGAGCTTGGCATTCTCAAGCTCTTATTTATTGAAATTCTTGAAGACAGGAAAATACTTTGGTTTCATTCCTAAGAAACCAGCTTCAAAGGATACATGGTAAGTCTAACATGGCTAAAGCATAATTATACAGTCCAGTAAAAAACTAAATACAGGGACAGGAGTTGCCTATCCTATAAGCCTGTATGATCAATATACAATATTTACAAGATATAAGTTATTGCTACAACAAATGATACATGGCTGAACTGATCAAGGGACAAAAAGGCACTTCCTAATTCAGACAATGTGTTCAATCTTTAGGCTTTCAAAACCTAAAATTGGTTAGTTTAGCAAGTATGGAATAGTCTGTGTCTTTTGGGAATGTTAAGGAACTTTAATGAGTATAAAGGGAGAGCATATACCCTAAATAAAAATTCAGTCTTTGAGATCATAATTCTGCTAAGTGAGAATATTGACTAAGTCCTTCACAGTTACAAAATTGGATATAAACCAATAAATTAAATATACATAAAAATATTTCTGCTATGCATTTTCCTGCATATGCACTGAACCTGCCCATCTAAATGAGATACAGCAGCAAAAATACTGTTGACAGTTGTAATCCAACTTCCTCCTTGTATAAATCCTACAAGTAAAATGGTTATCTGATACTATGGTAAAACATGAGATGTCTGGTGCTTTCTGGATTGTATAAATGACTTTGTGCTTATGGTTGAAGGTCACATGGTCCAAAGTTCAATGGAATAATGCATGACTTTGGCCTGCTGCACAAACAGGAGATGGTTGTGCAAGACTGTGTGTACCCCTGAGACGAGTAGTACCTTTGTATTTCCTTGGGCAGCTGAGCAGAAACCAAGGTGCAGCAGATTTCAAAAGACACAAAATCTTTTCACTATAACTTACACTATAGACAGCAGTACATTTCAGATAAAATCCAGTTATATATTCCAGAGAAAATCAGCAATTTCAAATCCATTTCAACACTACAATAATCAGTCTTTCATAATTAAGAAAAAAATCTTGGCTTTTAGAGTCAAAATCCCTGACTTCTTTTATAAGAATGATCAGTTCTGTTGGTTTTATGAGCTGATGAGTGAAGCTGTGTTTAAATCTTACAAGTATGAATCATATACAAATTACAAATCACCTCCAGCTTTGAAACCAACAAACTGGAATGAAAATGGATTTGTAAGTAACAAAGTGAAGACTGCAGTGATGCATCAACATTCAATCAAGACAACAGCCTGGATCAAGTCAAGTTTACTGAACATCAGACAAGAAAAATATATATTTATGAAACACAGATACAAGAACCTATTTATAAAACCCCAAAGCCCTAAGAGCATGCATGCTTGAAGGCTGGCAATATGTCAGTCTCGCAGAGGTCTGAGGGTAAACTGCTCATAGGTTCTACACTTTCTGTCACCAATATTGCCCATCCACAGCCAGTCTATTGGCACTACACCAATGGGGTGGGAGGGCACAATTGGTGAGTTGTGTACAATGCAAATCATTTAACATGTCAGAGCATTCCTTTCAAAAATACAGCTAAAGTGACAATATCTAATTTTTAGACTGACAACATGAAAGTTTTCTATATATTTTGTAAAGCTAAACTTATGACAGAAACTGGAATTTTGAAGACAAAGCACAAAAATGTCATGCCAAGATGACAATGGTCATAGAGCAAAAAAATTAGAATTTATTAAGTACTAGTCATATTACCATCAGCATAATAAGCATAGCTCATCAGCCAGCACAAGAAAAAAAAAGGGTCAACAGGCTGTTGTCTCCCACAAGCAGGTATAAAATATTTGAGCATCATTATTTATCATCCATTACGACTAGATTAAGCCTCATGTCAGAGGGCTGTTTCCATTGATTCCTTTTCCTCTGTATTATTATTATTCTGTGCATGGGATTGTTCACCCTCTTGTGTTGTGTCAGAGGTAATCATTGATACGTCTGGCGGTTGTGGGGGTTGATCAAGGGTTGTATTAGGAGTCGAGTGGGCAACCTCTTCAACATTCTCGACAGGGGAAGATGAAGGTGAATAGGATGCTGCTGCTTGAGAACTACAAGGCTCACTGTAAGCCCGAGTTAAGGGACCTCTCACACTCTGGACATTCCTCCGATCTGGGCTTCCCACACTGCTATCCTCTTCTTCCTCATCATCATCATCCTCCTCTTCCTCTTCCTCTTCTTCAAACTCCTCTCCTCCGTGGTCCTCTAAAATCGTTGTACTAATAATCTCTGTTTTTGGGGTACGGAACCTGCGGCCACTGCCAAAGCGACTCTGGAACAAGAGTGCTCGGGCTGTGTTGCGAGAGGAAGGAGGCATGATGACACCTTCACTTCTAACAGGTGCAGGTGTTGGTTGAGGTGGTTTCACAACAGGAGCAGGTGGTGGGGAGTACCCATAAATGCCTGGACGTGATGCTTTCAACATCTCCACCGCTGATATTCTCTGGTTTCCCCCAGCAGAACTCATACTCTGGTTGAGAATCATTTTCTTGAAATCCACTCGGGTTGTTTGTTTTGGGGTAGAGGAGAGAGGCTGAGATTGATTTTGCTGAGCTTGTGTTATTTGCATCTGCTGGTTCTGATGTGCACTTGCAGATTTACCTGCAGAAAACTGACTGGGTTTTGAAGGTTCATACTTCATAGATGCTTCCTCGGATAAATTCTGATATGGTAAAGGAGGCTCCACTTCTGTGGGAGAATCATCATCCTGTGCACTGGGTTGGGTCTGGTAGAGAGATGGTGACTCTCTGTGGGAAACCCCAGACTGTTGCTGGGGAACCTGTTGGTCAGGAGGCCAAGCACCATAGGTAGTTTGTGCCTGAGGTCTTACAGTATATGATGGCAAAGGGCTCACTCCAAATACAGCAGGAGAAGTACTGCGACTAGATGAGGGAGTGTTATTCTGGCTGGTGAAATCCCCTGTGGGGCCAGCCATTGTACCTCTATGATAATTATAATACTGAGGGTGACGCATGGCAGCATACAGTTCCTCACGACTCATGTAGCGCCGTCCACGAGACAGATCACAAGCATTTAATTCTGTGTCCTCAGACATTACATTCTGGGCTGTGGGATTAACAGCAACAAAGGATGACTGGCTACTGTCTGGAGGAGATACTGGTGTTGTAGGCAGAGATCTTGGTCCCACACCCACACTAGCCTGATGTTGCTGATGGAGCTGTTGCTGTTGCTGCTGCTGTTGTTGCTGCTGTTGCTGCTGCTGTTGCTGCTGTTGCTGTTGCTGCTGCTGTTGCTGCTGCTGTTGTATAGTCTGATGCTGTGCTCTACGGCTATAATAATATACCTCAGCAGATGGACTACTGCGGTAACTATGATCTCCGGACATTTCACTAGAATATGAGGAGTTCATATCAGAAGATCCAGTGTCAGGAGAAGGATAGCGTATAAAACTGGAGTCATCCGCATGCACCAGCTTCCTTGCTCCTTTCTGTGAAGCTGCTTTGAATCCTCCATCATCATCATCAGCACTCTCCTCCTTATTCTTCTTCTTTCTTCTTAAGGGCAATGTCCAGAACCACTTTTTCTTTAATGGTTTTTCAGTTTTAGCTTCTTTTTTCTTTTTCTCCTTGTCCTTTTCTTTGTCTTTTTTGCTAGATTTATCCTTCTTGTCTAAAACTTTTTCTGGTGTGCTGGGATTGGAGGCAGCTGACCTTCTTAGTCCCCTGCTGTCCATTCCAGCTGTGTATGAAGCAACACTGGATCTCCTGGACAACTGCTGCTTTTGCTGTTGCTGCTGTTCCTGCTGCTGCTGCTGTTGAGCAATCTGTGATCGAGGAGTTCATATCAGAAGATCCAGTGTCAGGAGAAGGATAGCGTATAAAACTGGAGTCATCCGCATGCACCAGCTTCCTTGCTCCTTTCTGTGAAGCTGCTTTGAATCCTCCATCATCATCATCAGCACTCTCCTCCTTATTCTTCTTCTTTCTTCTTAAGGGCAATGTCCAGAACCACTTTTTCTTTAATGGTTTTTTCAGTTTTAGCTTCTTTTTTCTTTTTCTCCTTGTCCTTTTCTTTGTCTTTTTTGCTAGATTTATCCTTCTTGTCTAAAACTTTTTCTGGTGTGCTGGGATTGGAGGCAGCTGACCTTCTTAGTCCCCTGCTGTCCATTCCAGCTGTGTATGAAGCAACACTGGATCTCCTGGACAACTGCTGCTTTTGCTGTTGCTGCTGTTCCTGCTGCTGCTGTTGCTGTTGAGCAATCTGTGGATCGAAAGATTGCCTCCTGGAAGGTGGTAGAGAGCTGTAGCCCCTTTGGTGCCTTCCAAAGCCAGCAGGCAAAGTCTGGCCAACTTGTACATGTCGTGTCATCCCAATCCTGCCATATATATCACTGTCTATGAGATTGTGGTGATCGTTGTAGGGAGGAGGTGAGGTGGACATGGGACGCGGGGGCTGCTGTTCCCTTCCGCCTCGACCCTCGACAACCAAGCCCACACTTTGGAGGCTGCGCTGTGACCCATACATCATACCTGAAGATAGTCATTGTTTTAAGGCATGCACTTTAATAACATTCTTTTGTTTGAGTTCTGATATTGACTTGCTTTAAATTTAATTTATTTCAATTCATTCTTTATCTTGAAAATTCTCCTAATTTATATCATGCAGTGTGTGATTATATTTTCTTCAATATTCTAAGTTTCAGTAAGACAAAAAAGCACCATTGAGATAATTATATGGAGATTCTTGAAGATTTATATGCTCATCAGATCAACATTTTAAACTAAAATGGGAGTCTTTACTTTACATATTCTTGATTACAGACTTTTATTAGAAACAGTACTGATTACTTGCCAAATGCATCCAAATAACATGAAAGTTTAAGAATACTCACCATAATTCACTACACACAACTGAGTTGCATGAGCACAGCATCACAAAAGAATGATTAAAATTCCATTTCATTTTTTTTAATTAGGAAAAAAGGTTAGTCCAGGTCAGTCAGCTTAAGTCATGGTTTCCAGCAGTTTATAAAAAACAAGCACCATAAATAACTCTGTGAAGGTGTACCACTCTGGCATTGTTGATGTCAGTGCCATCATTGTTTAAGAGAACAGAACAAGCTTCCATTAATCAGTAATACTCACATTCCATATGGAGACATAACAGACACCACAGTAGATCACAAACAACTTTCCTGATCATACTATTGTTACATCTAAACATACATTATTTCTAAAACTAATCATAATAAAGAAGTATTTCAGTTGCAAAAAATTATTGATTCTTTATTTCTTGTTTTTGGACAATAAGGTTCAGCAAATAATTTTTTTGGGAAAATTCCCTGTAGCATCTTAATTATTTAATATTATTATCATTATTATTAATCTGTTCAATTAATATTCTATACTTTTTGTTTTGCAGCTATATATCATATTCGAAGATTATACTTCCATTATATATACATGTTTATGTCCACATTGTAACTGAAATGTAACGTGAATGTTGCATTATCAAGCCTATTCATGCTGAGGCTTAGACATGGTCACTAGTTCATGCAGTCAAGTCTGGTCAGGCACAGGTCAGATCACACGGACAGACATGCAAGTAATAAGCATCTCATGATAAATCCTGCCATCTTTGTTCTAGCTTTGTGATCTAATTACATCATTAGATTTATGTAATATCATCAAAATATTTAAAGCACATATGACCGATCATGAGCCAGTCAGTTTGTTGGCAAGGTTCATCTATGAAATTCAAGGGAACTAGGAGCAAACAAAAACACTGTATCGGTGGGAGGCACATGTATTAAGGGACTTGGTACAAGGCATGGTGAACCTCACATGCTGGCTAACAAAAAGAGACAACAGGCAAGGTGGAGCTCGTGGGAATGTCCAATGTGCTAAACTCTAATCCCACAGGAAAGAAACAGATACCAGTTGTCTTTGAGAAAATCTTTTTTCTTCAAATAATTTGTGTGTGCAACATTACAATTGGGAGTATACCATGGACAAGGTATGCAGCAATTGGAAATATTGCACATTTTTCCCTTGTAAGTGCCAACCTAAATTTCTCATAAATAACCATATAATAATTTACTGATAACACAAAACATAGACAAGCAGACTAAAATACCCCAATGTAGTGGGATCTCTCTGCTTAATTAAGTATCCCTTTGAAAAGGTCTGATCCCAGTAACTTCTAAGAGGAATGAACCTCTAGGTTTAGGAATCCTGATTAGGAATTTCAAGAGTAAGAGAGATGGGAGAGACACAAAGAAAAAAGTTTCACTTGATATCTGCCTCTGTCTCCTGTTCCCATAAGCATGACAGCTCACCCATCCTGGTGTACCAATCAGAAGACAAAACCCAAGCATCACCACAATGCCTCCACCAACCCTTTTCCCACTATTTCCACCCTGCCTGGAGTTTACACAAAAAGGGAAAAGAGAGAGCTATCATGTAAGACATACCATCATTTTCTTAAGATTAAAAACAGTTCCTCTTGGAACTTTTCTTAGATACTAACTACATTTAGAAGACTAATCTAGAGAGCAATAACTTATTTAGTCAATGTTTAGCCACCAAATATCAGTGGTTTGTCATAAATCATTACTTACATCAGTGACTCCCAACATTAGAATTATGCACAGCTTCAGAAATCTTGCAATTATAATAGTGAAAAAAATGAAATTTGATACATACAAAATGTATTTCAATGTTTCTTAGTATGGACTGATCAAATACCTCATTTGTCAAAGCTCAAGGAAGGCCATACAGGAGATGAGGAAAGTCCACATTTTTTCTTTTTCAAAAGGTGTCATCACCAAGACTAGCTATGATGAGGTTTCCCAAAATTAAAAGAACTATACACTTACTGCAAATGAATTTAAACCCCTCCTTAATCTAATCATGCTTTAGGATATTCTGTTAACTATGAAAGATTTCATCCTAAATTTTGTGAACACTTACATTATTCTATTTACAATCCAGTAATGAAAAGCTGATTAGCAAACAGATGAAAATCACAAACTTTTGCATGCATACACAGTAATATTGGTGAGTCCTGAATTGGAGATCATATATGTGTTTCATTGAAAAAATAAGATGAAATTTCATCTCCAAAAAAGCAGCCTTTCAATTGGAAGGCTACGTTTCACTGGGTCCTTTGAACCTTACCAAGCTAGATAATCTCAACAAAACAACATGACCTCTATGATCCAATAAAGTTTTTAAAAAATAAGAGGCAGTCTAAATCTAACAATATTGTACTTTATCACAAAATAACATAACAAACACATAATAATGTATGTGGAGAAACACATCAAATATAAAAATGCATGTCATATTATAGTTTTCTTGGAGAAAAAACAAAAAAACAAATAAGAAGACTGTGTCCCTCAGCACTGGAAGTCATGAAACATAGTGGAGCTGGGACAGTGATTAAGATTCGTATTGGAGAATCAAGTGCAATGCTAAGCAATAAATGTGCAAAAGAGTACCATGGACAAAGTGGTAAACATGCGTAGGTACAAAGCAGTGTCACTAGGGGCAGTTGGTTGTATAGCTCAAATCTCTGAACTTGGTGCACACAGCAAAAAAATCACAAACATGTTTGTATATAAAGCAAATGAAAATGAAGTAAAATGTTTGCTATTGTACTGAAACATACTTTTGTATCAAGCCACTCTTGTAATAACTGATGCTTTCAAACAATTCCAACATGAAACATGTTTGTATGAATACATATAAATAAAATAAATTTTCACTTCTATTTCACATTTTTCTATCAGTGTAGTGTTCTATCTGCAGTGATCTTTGTGTGTTATTGTAGTATTTTCATTGTATTTTGTTGCTAACATATATTTACTTTTTTCATTAACTATAATGTCTTGTTGGCAGATACAATACAGTTTACAATATTATGTATTTTGAACTGAGCCAGATTCTTATTTAAATTTGCCTCTTATGTTATAAACTAAAATGTATAATAAAATGGCAGCAAATCTTCCTAAGAGTTTGTAGTTTGTACTTTAAAAATCCTTTCTGAAAATTAATAATGCTGATAAACGCTAATAATATACTGTACCACCAAAAGGTGTACTAACTTCCAGTTAAAATATATTTGCAAAATTTGTCCAATTGCACTAACAAGAGCTTTTGACAGAACTAGAACATACTGCAACCTAGAAAACGATTACACAGCTAGGAAAGTACCGTTCATCAGCTACTAGTATACACAGCAGTACTTGGTTAGTTTCACTACAGGAAAAAAATGGCACTTATATGACGATTAACATTACCTTGAGTGATTCACACTGACTAGGGAAGGGGATGGAATAATTTTGCTTAACTGACTATATCAAAGGCTAAGAGTAGCCACCCTGATGTCTTTACCAAATCTCTGTATCTGTTACTGGAGATGGAGGCTTTTTCACAATCCCAACAACCCTTGGTCTGGTGCCAGCACTCAAGCTGAACTTTGACACTGGGCTGAATTTGGATTTATTTTCATTCTTATTGGCCTCATCTTTCACCTTGTTCTCCTTACTTGTACCTGCAGCTTTTGGGGATTTTAATTCATTTACTACCGCTGGATTTACCATGACCTGAGCTCCATAGAATCTGCGCCTGAGTGTATTGGGGTTAACTATTTGACCTGGACTAAAAGGACTAACTGGGCGTTTCTGTGCCAGAGTCTTGCCTCGACCCAAACCTTGCCCTGCATATTTATGACTATCAAGAGAAAAGTTGAGCCTTCTATAGGTATTACCAGAATTTCCAACAGTAGCCCTTGGTCCATGGATTGTACTATTGTTTATCACTGGAAGTTCATAATGCACAGAATTGATATTGGCATGGCCTTCACCTCGATGGAATAAACTATTTGTAGCTTCTGACAAAGGGGCAGTGGCCAACTTGTAACTATTATTTCTTTGAAATGGACTAGGAATTGATCTTGCCATTTCCGTGTTTGAGACTTTAATGTGATCTAATCTGAAATTACCCTTGGATGCAAAGTCATTTGATAGTTTACCATATTTAACCTGCTCTGTTGTTGGCACTGAACTAGTGTGAGTAGAAGCTACAGGTTTCTGGGAAGCTAAGCGGGCATGGGCCAAGGCTAACAATACACGATCTGTTGAAGGGTCAAGTTCTTGATCTAAACATGGTGCCTGTGACAGTGCACTACTGAAGTGAGTACCTGAATCTGTGCGCAGGTGGGGGTGAGTTAGGGCCATTGTGCTGGGTTGGGCCCCACGCCTAGGACTGGAGGTTACAGGGCCTTGCACAGGGGTGGGTGCCCGGGAGGTGGTACCTCCAGGTGGGTATCCATGTGCACTCTGAGGACGCGGGGGAATCTTAGCTGATGACTGACTGCCCTGAGTGGACTGTGGGGGAGGTGTTGCCACCTGAGCCGTCTGACCTTGAACATGTACATAGGCTCCAGCACGTTGACTTCTAGGAGACATGGGTGCTCCCTGAGATGCCATGATCACACCAGCAGAAGTAATAACAGGCTGTGCTTGTGCAGTTTGCTGGTGTAACTGTTGACGTGCCTGGAATACCTCTTGCTGAGTCTGGTATAAGGGCTGTTGTTGCAAAAGCATCTGCTGCTGATGTAAATGTCTCTGAGCTTCTTCCTTTGTCTGATAAATCTGCTGTTGTAAATGTTGCTGTTGCAACTGCTGCTGTTGCTGCCGCTGCTGCAACTGTTGTTGTTGTTGTAACTGTTGTTGCTGTAACTGTTGTTGTTGTAGCTGTTGCTGCTGTAGTTGCTGTTGTTGTAGCTGCTGCTGCTGTAGTTGCTGTTGTTGCAGTTGCTGTTGCTGTAGCTGCTGTTGCTGTAATTGTTGTTGTTGTAGTTGTTGTTGTTGTAGTTGTTGCTGCTGTAACTGCTGTTGCTGTAGCTGCAACTGCTGCTGTTGAACTGCCCTCTGTGCTTCCTGTCGTGCTTGAAATATCTGCTGCTGCTGTTTCAGGTGCTGTTGCTGCTGGGTGGTCCCATAAATACTATTTGAGCTTCCAGCAACACTTTCAAGTTTATGCTTCTCTGCATAACTCTGTTCATCTTCAGTTTTTGAAGCAAAGGCTACTTGTCTTTGACTACTTGGTGATTGCGGCTGTTGTAATGTTTGTTGCAGTCGTTGGTGAGGAAGTGACTGAGGTGGGCGAGACTGTTGGCCTGTCAAACTTGTTGATTGTAATGATGATGGTGCAGGTGCCATGCTCACAGCAAGGGGAACAGTGGTAGGAGCACTAGTGCCTTTTGGGTGCATTGGGTACAAGCCTGGTTTTATCTGCTGCTGTTCTGTGGAGGTGTGTAAAACAGGGTGTGAAGCTGTGCTGGAAATTGTTTGTACAGATGGAGTCATGTGAGACTGAGTAGCTGTTGTTATCTGAGGTTGAGGAGTTGATATTACTTGTAAAGGTGTTGTGAGAGACTGTGTAGATGGACCAGTCTGTACAGCTGGGGCAGCATGTGATTTTACATGGGGTAATGTCTGGGAAGAGGGGACTGTCTGAGGTTGTGAAGAAGGAGCTTTAGAAGTTATGGACTGAGACAAACTGGCTTGCACTGGGGTCTGGGTTTGGGTTTGAGTATGAGGCTGAGGGGTGAATTGTGTGGCTGAAGTAGGGAGGGGCTGCTGAGGCCTGTGCGCCATTGGATGTGGTTGAGGTGCTGTAATAGTAGTAGAGCTAGTCGTTGGAGGTGGTGGCAGCGGTGTGTGCAATATACTACTTGGTGCAGTAGAAACAGAAGACTTCATGTGGGACACAGTCATTGTTTGAGAAATACTGGTACCTCCTGAAGCTTGAGGTTGTGTTGTATTTACAACCTGTTTGATGTATGGACCAGGTTCAAAAGATGAGTGTCCTTTGCGTCGTGGTAAACTGTCCGACGAATAAACAACCTTTCCATCTGAGTTCAACGTTACCCGAGCACCTGGCTTTGATGGATTGACTTTCCTTCTCTCCAAAGAGTTAGTTGGTGTAATTACAACATTTTGCTTAACACTGGTGGGTACTGCACTGAATGGGTGTGAAGCAGTTGTAGTTGGAGGAGGAAGTTCCTTGTAGGATACTAATTCAGAGCTGTGTGTCTGAGTTTTCTCACTTTGAGATTTTGACAGTTCCTCTTTTGATAATTGCTTTTGTAATTCAGCCTTCTGCTTGTCATCACTCTCTTGTGATAACCTTTTTTCTCGTTCAGCTTGCTTGACCAATGAAGGCCTAATCAACACAGGCTGTTCAGGGTCTGGGCGGGCTGGGGAGGCTACTGCTGCTGTATGCATAATACCTTTAAGATGGGCATTGATGTCCCCATCCTTACTTCGTGGAATGACAGTGAGTGTTGGGGTGTAGCCATGTGGTAACTGGGGCAACTTTGACAGAGTGTCTTTCTTTTCACTGCTGCCATCATCTACAACACTTCTACCACCTCCAGTAGCACCTCCACCTTTTGCACCAGTATTGTGAAAAGAGTGCAGCTTTGCAGTAACACCAGAAGTACTACTCTGACTGGCAAGGGTGCCATGAGATCCCTGAGCAGGTGCTTGCTGTCCCTGGTTATCAAGCTGCGATCCTGAACTATCACGAGAAAGAGGAACACTTCCAGACCTGACACTTTCATCATCACTCTGCGGAGGAGTTATAACACACATGGAAGGGATACGACTTGAATTTATGGTTGTCTTCACACGGAATATTTCCTGCCTATCAACTTCCAGGTCTGACTCAGAGAATTCAAGCTCTGGTGAAGGTAGACTAGGCTGTCGAGGACTTGTGGGTTCTGTGGGAGAACTGGAGGTCTCTCTACCACTGTCACCATCCCGAGAACTCCTGCTGTCACCATCCTGACTCCCACTCTTGTCAGGAACATCCCCAGCCACATCTTCACGAGAGGAAGTGGATCCATTCACATGTATTACTGTTATCACACTTTCACGATTTTCTTGTTTTCTCTCTAAAGAGCTCACCCTTTGTGGGGGCTTAGGAGGGGTCTTTTTCTCTGGGTTCCTCATGACAACAGTGCCCAAGCTTGCTGAACTGTTCGTTGTGCCAGTGCTTCCCTT